TCTCATTTGTTAATGAAATCTTTTTCTGCAAGAAGTGTGGCTAAGCAGAAATTTATTACTCAGCAGAATCATCCGGTAGCGAAACTTGCAATTAGGAACAAGAGTAGGGTTTTTAAAGAAGAGTGTTACAATACAAAGGATTGGCTCTGTGGCAGCAAAGGTGAGAACAGTCTCTTCTGTTGGCCATGTTTGCTCTTCAGACCTAGGCAGTCCACAACATGGACCATGACAGGCTACAATAATATGCAAGATTTCCTGTCAGATTGTCAGAAACATGAAAAAGCCAAGTATCGCATCAGAACATTCGATCTTTCTGATAGAGATGTTGGGTTCTCAAGAGCAAGGAGAGAGGAAGTTGAACGTCATAACAAGGAAGTAAGTCAGAATAGGAGTATGCGGTAAATTATTTCTGAAGCTGTGCTTTATCTTGGCAAGCAAGATTTAGGCTTCAGTGGGCACGATGAATCTAGTACCAGCTTAAACAAGGGAAACTATAGGGGTTTTTTGGGGGTTATAACTAAGTTTGATTCTGTTTTTAAACGATGTCTTCATGAGCGATTGGACGATTCAGAACGTGGTAGGGCTTTTACTGGTGTCTCAGCAGATATCCAGAATGATCTAATTGAATGTATTGATTCAGTAATACAGGATCAAATTGATAAAGATATTGCTGAATGTAATTGTTAAGTATCCAGGTAGATGAAACTACAGACATTTCAACCAAAGAGCAGTTGAGTGCCATTGTTCGTCTTGATAGAAATGGTGAAGTGGTGGAGAGATTTTTCAAGTTCTTTAATATAGGCTCAGACAGATCAGCTTCAGCTCTAACTGCAGTTGTGAAAAATATTTTGGGCAAATATGGAGAATCACTGAAAGGCAAGCTTATTATGCAGACATATGATGGAGCCTATGTAATGTCAGGAAACATTTCTGGTGTACAACAGCTTCTTCGCCAGGACTATCCATTTGTTTATTTTTTCCACTGTGCTGCTAATCGATTGAATCTGGTTTTATGTCAGTCTGCTTCTTCAATATCCGTATATAGTAAAGTTTTTTTTGCAAATGTGGGTGCCTTCAGCTCATTTATCAGTTTTAGGCCAAAGATCCCACAATATTGAAATACCACACTCAGGTGACACAAGGTGGTACTACCATTCTCGCACAACAAGTGTCCTGTTTGAGAAATAACAGTGTTTTTTTGCTGTTTTGGAATCAATGGTCGAAAATCTAAAAGATTTTGACGAGGTTACCCTAAAACAGACAAGTGGGTTATTACAATATCTCAATAGCTTTCTTTTTTGTTTCTGGATGATTCTTTTTAACAAAATTTTGCAAAAATCAGCTATTCTTTAAATAGTTTTGCAAAATAGGCAGACAGATCTCACCTATGGAATTGGAAAAATATCTCATTTTCTAGATTTTCTTGTGGAAATGAGATCTGATGAATCTTATGATAGCTGCTTTACATCAGCAGTGGAAATGATTGGTGAACCAACAACAAGAGCAGGAAAAAAACATAATTATAAGCAGCTTTTTTTCAAGTTATTGACAACATGGCAAATATGTTGAAAGATGGTTTTTCTGATTTCAAAAGTTTTGAATTCTTGGATCTGGTGAATCCCCATTTTTTTCTCAGTGGAAGGATAGTGTACTTGCTGGCAAATTGGAGCTTTTGAGAGTAAAATATGGTCCTCTTTTTAACATCCCAGTAGCTTATTTTCATCTATAGAGATTTGGATTTCCACCAGAGCAATTCACAAGAATTGTTAGTGTACATTCATCATTTTCATTTGCAGACAAGACTTTCTGAAGTATACAAGCTTTTTTTGATCAATACATCAGTTGCAGTGTCCAGTGCATCTGTTGAAAGGTCCTTTTCTTGCTTGGGAAGAGTAAAAACGTAACTTCGAATTTTGAATATCTTCATCACTGCAAACAATCGAGAATTGGGAAATCGGCTACATTCATTTGCGTAAAACTCGCATAAATTGTGTGTTGTGCATGTGTCAAGTGTTCCAGGAAGAGGTTTCCATCGAAACTTGCTTACAATGTCGCTGAACAAAATCATCCTTTCGACATACTTGCACTGTCACACATAATTTATCATAAAAGCGGCTCACTTGACTAAAAGCGACTCAACTTTCACAACTTGGTCTGGTCGTTCCCAGAGTGAAAATAGGATTCACTGCTTATCGGTTGAAGGTGTTAATTTACTTTATCTGTACAAGTACGAGAGAAGAGAAAACAGACAAACAATGACAAACACCTTTTTATTAATTTTCTATATATTCTGTGGTATTTCCATAAAAACCTCCCAATTTCTTAAAAAATCCTTCCAAATTCCTTCTAATTGGTAAATCCTTCTTTTATCCTTCCAATCAACCAAAAATCCTGGAAAAGGATGAATCCTTCCAAA